TATCCTGGTGTGCATGTGGGGCAGGTTCTGTCCTCTTGTGGACTTCTGACAATGGAACTCTTCTGCCTCACCCAACTTAAACCTGAAGCTTCCTAAGCTGTGAGTGGGAGCCAGCGCCACCTAGGGGTTGAATGAATGTGAGTCAGGATGACCCTCCATCCCCTTTCCAAGTCTCCAGTCTGATTTTTTTTTTTTTCTTTTTTTTTTTTTTTTTCCGTCTTTTTGAGACAGGGTCTCCCTGTAGTCCCAGCTGACCTGAACTCACTATGTAGATCAGGCTGGCCTTGAACTCACGGTGATCCACCTGCCTCTGCCTCCGGAGTGCTGGGACTAAAGGTGTGTGCCACCATGCCCGGCCCAGTCTCTGATTATTTTGCATGCACAAATTTCTGATAATATTTTGCCCTGATTCCAGAAGTAAAACTTTCCAATTCCAGGAATGCTTAGAGGTCTGTGATTCTAAGCCTTCCTCCTTCATATTCATAGTACTTTATAGCAACTTGACTTTAAGGCTGGCCTCCACCAAAAATGACTGGCACCCCACACATCAGCAATGACCTCAGCAAGATGTCATGTGGGCCCTGGTCCTGTCTATGCAGTCTTGTAAGGAAATTTAATTATAATTAATATTTAACCAACATAATATTCTTTTCCTCTGCCTGACCCAGTAAGCCAGACCTCTGAGCATAAAGCTCAGAGATTTCTCTTATTAAAAAATAACCATCTCCGCCGGGTGTGGTGGCGCATGCCTGTATAGTCCCAGCACTTGGGAGGCAGAGGCAGGTGGATCTCTGTGAGTTCAAGGCCAGCCTGGTCTACATAGTGAGTTCCAGGACAGCTGGGGCTACAGGGAGACCCTGCTTCAAAAAGACAAAAAAAAAAAAAAAAAGATAACCATCTCCTTCCTTAAGAGCCTATGGAAGGAAATAGGGGGTGAGACACAGGGCTACTGTAACCATAATACACATAGAAACCTCTAGGGATCCCGTGATGCTGACTTAGGGTTCTGGGGCCATGCCTAGCACCCTGAATTTCTAGAAAATTCAGGGTAAAGTTGGGATGTCCCCACACAGAGACATAAAGGCAGACCTTTATGCAGTTGCCATGGGGCAGAATGAGATTGAGGCTGTTAAACTTCCAGCAGCGCCTCCTCCCAGAAGATGCACAATGCAGTGGCCCTTCTTCTTGTCCTGATGCCCAGGAAGTGATGCAGCCCTATGGATGGGGGACTGGGGTGGAGCATGATCTTACATGTGTTTTGGCTTGTAAGAAATAGTCTGTGTCCCAGAACTCTGTATGTATGTTGGCGGCAGGAGTAGAAAATCCACTTTTCTGGGACATTACAGAGATTTTAAGCACTTTAGGAATGGAAGAATTTTGAGGTTGATGTGAAGATGTTTGAGCTAGACACCTACTCTTTCAGGAACAATTTTTATTTTTAACATCACTTGTTACACAAGGAAAGGAAGAGATAGAAATAAGTTTTACAAGTGGGCCTTTTCAACAGGATGGAAGTGGCTGCTGCCGCTGATTAACACAAAGGGAAAACCTCATTACCTGCGGGTGCAGCTGCTCCTCACACAGGCCAGCACGCTTCCTGAACAGACAGGATGCTCTGGGGAAAGCCCCAGTTCTCAATCCAACACACCTCCCAGGCGTGTCCTGTGGCCCAGCTCCAATGTCCAGTTACCCCACAAAGCAGGGTTCAGTCCATGGATAAGAGCCAGGCCCCAGCCCCAGGTCAAAGGCCAACCCACATTCTCTCCAGACTCCCCAGGCCCTTTCTCAGAGGAAGCTGGCCTACATGCTGTGGAATGTTCCATTCCATCATCCTTCAGGAAGGGCTGCTCAGAAGTGACAAGGACAGCTAGAACCAAAGAAGAAAATAATAAGTGTCAGTGAGGATGTCTGGAACTCTTGTGCTCTGCTGGTGGGGGATCTGAAGTAGTGCAGCCACTGAGGAAAGTCTTGAGCAGTAGCTCAAAAAATTAATGTGTGATTGCCGTGGAACCCACTGAATCCATTGCTTGGTATAGACTCAGAGAGAAACTCAGGCAGATGTTTGCAGATTCATGTTCATAACGGGGCTTTTCAAAATAGCCAAAAGCAGACAAGTGAGATGACTCGGTGGATAAAGACTTGCAGCGAACCTGGAGACTTGAGTTTAATCCCTGGAACCCACATAAAGGTGGAAAGAGAGAACTGACTCTACAAAGTTGTCTTCTGACCTCCACATGTGTACCCACACACATACACACACATACACAAGTAAATAATAACCCAAATGTAGAAATACTCAAATGTCTGCTAGTAAATGGACAGATGGTGGTATATCCATACAGTAAACTACTATTCAGCCATGAACATGAAGTACTTACTGGCCTGTGCCACATTTGGATGAACCTCAAAAGCCTCATATTGAGTGAAAGAAGCCAGACTCAAAAGGTTGCACACATCAAGTCATTCCATTTCTCTTCATTTCTAGAAGAGGGAAATCCACAGAGACAGGAAGTTGATGGGTGGTTGCCAGAAGCAGGGAGAAAAAATGGCGAGTGACTGCTTAATGGGTCTGGATTTCCTTTTGAGGCCATAAGAGTGTTTGGAACTGGGTGAGGGCTGCACAAGCCAGTGAGTGTGCAAACCCCTCCGGGTTACAAAACGAGAAGAAAAGGTACTCCGGAAGAGATTTTTATCTCAGAAGTCAGACTCCCCATTCAGGAAGTGCAGCCTAGAGATCTGCTGGCGATGGAGGGGAAATAAGTTTGACTCTCTCACCAAGGTTCTGAACATGAGGGAAGAACATGGCCTCAGTTTAGACACACAGTTCCCCCCAAAGTGCTTGGGGACCTGTGCCTTACCTTGGCTCTGGAGCCATCAACTCCACCACACAGACTTTCAGAGTGTGGGCAATAATGATGCTAGCACTGAGAAGCATTCCATCCCCTCAGGATGCTCACTGTAAACCCTGACCAGGGGCAGTCCCCATGTGACATGGGGAACTGAAGTTCTGTGTTATAACATCTACTCCCAGGAAAGCTAGATCCTTACACAGCCGCAAACCAAACAAAAATGAATGGGACTGGGAAAGACCCATAAAAATCAGAGTGAAAACTTGTTCTGTTCCCAAACACTGCTAACAAGGCTATCAAACCACCAGCTTCCGAGCCAGGGTGAGCCTGGGGTCCTATGTCCACTGCAGTAGCCATGATCCTCAGGAGAAGCAGCACAGTGGGACTGGATCTTCAAAGATGCTAAGATGCTCAAGATGCTGAGCCTGCCCTGCCCCAGCCAGGCACTCACTGCTGTGGCATGACTGGGCGATCCTGGAATACGTCAAGGGCGGGGAAGGGCAATCAAATCTCCACTCAGGTGCTGACCCAGATGGAGCCCCAGGACCTTTTCAAACTTGCCTTGGGATGCAGAAGTGGGTCCCCAAGCTCTGGAGTGGGCCTCTGAATCTCACCCATTAACCTCAGACCCAAAGACTCACTTCCCACCTCCCCTTGCTGAGGAAATATAGCTCTGAGTGAGGTCTCCCCACACCCCACACTTCCCTGACATTCACACACACCTCAGGTTCCCTGTGAATTCTATCCTCACACCTCAATGCCATGAGACATGGAAGATGACATGTTAACTCAGCAAAGATACATCCTGGACCATCTGCATAGGCAGTGGAGGAAAAGACCAGAAACAAGGGTACAAGTCCCCCAACCCCAGGGCAGCATAGGGCTTTGAAATAAGATAGCAGATTGGTCTTGGCAGACAAAGATCATTGGTGAGCAGGCACTAGATACATCTATCTGAACAAAGACTGGGGCCTTCACTGACACGCCTGTGAACAATGGCACATGGCTGTAATAGAGGAGTCCACAGAAAAAGAGAAAGCCTCCCTCAATTTCTTCTCTCCAAAAATATTTTTAGCAAGGCCTGGTGACACTTGCCTTTAATCCCCTCAAGAGGCAGAGGCAGGCAGACCTCTGTGAGATCAAGGCCAGCCTGGTCTACAGTATAGCCAGTTCCAGGCCAGCTACAGAGAGACCCTGTCTCTGAAGACCATACCTTTAATGTGATAAATTTGTTTTCAACGTGTCCTTAGATTTTAAGTGTTCTACTGTAGTTAAAGCATATATAGCATTAATTTACACTTGTAACTATTTTTAGGTGAGCTGTCAGGGGTATGAGGTTTGTTGTGATAGTGATTGTGCAGCATCTCCACCATCCATCTCCAGGCTGGAATCTCTGAACCTCATGAGTAAATGTTGCCCTCCCCATCTTCCACTCTCTGGTGTTCATCACCCTTCTTCCTGTCTATGAATGTGTCCCTGAAGAGAATTCACATAAGGGGGACCCCTTAGTACTTTTTTTTATTACTGGCTTGTCTCACAGACATGTGTCTTCAGAGGTCACCCTTGTTGGAACATGCATCAGAACTTCCTGTTTAAGGCCAAATAATATTCCAATATGTGGACGTATCAAGTTTTATGTACCTACTGTAAGCAAGATACTGAGAAGATAGAGATAAGATTGCGTGAAGCTGTTTGGAACGCTCTGCGCCAAAATTTCTTTAAAAGAAGCCAAGCAAGCTGGAGAGATGGCTCAGCAGTTAAGAACACTGTTTCTTGCAGAAGGCCCGGGTTCGAATCCCAGCACCCACATGGCAGACTTATACACATAAAATAAAAATAATAAATAAAATATTAAAAAAAAAGAAGCCAAGCAAGTTGATTCTGTCATTGCAGCTGTCCATTTAATCACATCATGACAGCCTCTCCTCAGTCACCTGGGATCACATGGAATAGTTTTTTCCTTAAATTCTGTCTTCATTCTTTGACCAACACTCCAGCTCTGGTGGCCGAGGTAGAATATGGTCATTTACATAATAATATTCCTGAAGATTATAGCTCTTGGAGAAAGGGAAATGCAATTTGAAAAATGACTGTGACTGAGAATGAGTGCCTGTTTTCAACTGTGACGCTGAACGTATCTTGTTCCCACAGGGTCAACCTGGGCCAGTGGGACCACAGGGGTTCAGTGGGCCTCCCGGGTTACAAGGATTCCCAGGACTGCAGGGCCGTAAAGGAGACAAAGGCGAACGGGGAGCTCCTGGGCCAACAGGACCAAAAGGAGACGTGGTATGGGACTTTGCTGGGCGCTCTGCTGTGGGTGGGCACTGGGGGGCTTTTCTGGTGTGCCCTATTGTGGGTGAATACTGAGGCTCTTTGCTGGTGGGCCCTGTTGTGGGTGGACGCTAAGCATTTCAGCCTTTGTTAACTGTTTTACTTCTCCTTAGGGAGCAAGAGGCGTCTCCGGATTCCCCGGTGCTGATGGAATTCCCGTAAGTGTTTGAGAAGATGAGAATGTTAAACATTGCGTGTGTTCCAGGCAATGCATTTATGACTTAAAGAAATCTTTTACATGAAATTGCCTTCTTTGTTTATAACTTCAAATGTGGGGGGGGTTCTCTGTGCAGTTTTCTCCTGGATTCCATTCAAACACTGGACAAAGTGCTTCTTTCCTGAACATTCTTATAGACAGGCCTTCAGAATTGACTCTACTTTGCTGAAACTAAATTGTTTACATGATTCAGAGATGCTCAGTGAAGAGCCAGTCTTGAGATTTCATTTGCCCGGTGAAGCAACCTGAATGTAAAATAGCCCAGCAAGAACAGGATGGAATGCAACTCCCCAGGGGGCTCCCTGGGTTTCCTGAATTCTTCGTGGTAACTACACATAACATCAGTTATGATGGAAAGTCACAGATTCGGCATGGTAGTCATGCCTATCATCCCAGCACTTGGAACAGAATTAACATGCGTTCAAGCCAGCCTGGCCTACAGAGTAAGCCTGTCACAAAAAAAGAGAAAGAGGAAAGGCATGATTCGTTCATGAGAAAAATCTCAAAATGCAATATAAAGTGTTTTTATAAGTTAGTTTACTTTACTTCTTGTGGCATAAAAAAATAAACAAAACAGCCTGACTCACAGCCTTCCTCACAGGGCTCAGCGAGCAGATTCCCAGGGCTGGCTTCCTGGCCAGACCTAAGTTCAAGGATGAGCGTGTTTATCTCACGTCCTGTCGCTCCTTCATCTGCTGTGGCTCGAAGGCATGGACTTTGAACCTCACATATGTTCACAGATGTCTGTACCCCACCAGCACATGTGTCTCAGATGTCTGTGCCCCCCCAGCGCATGTGTCTGAGAGAGAGAGAGAGAGAGAGAGAGAGAGAGAGAGAGAGAGAGAGATCATTCCCCAGCTTCACATGCAGGGCCATTACAAGGAAGGAGAGAAAGGCCTGGCACAGAGGATCTGTGCTTTGCCTTTGGGCCACTAGCCCCACACTCAAGGAGACTTGTGTAGGAGTGTAGGAAGCAGAGCAGGAGGGCAGCCATATTTACCAGGGCGGGGCCCTGAATGTCAGGGTCCTCAGAGTCACACACAAAGTGGGCTCCAGCAGACTCGGGGTTATACTACACAGCCAGGAAGAAGTAAGTAGTTGCCTCATTACTCAGGGTCTTGAGAAATAGGCAGAGTACAGAGTCACACATTTCCAGAGATAAACAAATCATAAAAATGTTTTCTAACATTTAAACTTAAAACTAAATTACCCATTTTTTTAAAACTACTTCTTGGAACTCTTTGGATTGTCTGTGAGTTTTTTCCTTGATGAGGATTTGTAATCCAAATTAAGATATAAAGACATTATGGGATAAGATGGAAACAGATCTGTCTCATATGCTTGATCATTTTTCATCTGCATGTTTATTTTATATCGGGAGAAAATGGTCAATAAAGTAGAGAGGAATAATCACCTTGCATAGAGTGACATTTCCACAGTAGCAGCACTGCTCAATGACAGAGTCTCTCGCCACAGAACACAGCACAGATGAGGTTGCTTAAATGTCATTTGTCACAGCTTGTCAGTTTGTGAATCTTAATTTTAAGGGGCATATGTTAGGTGTTTAGAAGTTGTATAAAGCGACCTTTAAAAGCTTAGAGTTGTGTCCTGTAGAAAGGTGTCTAGAAGGCCATCCGAAAGCTAGCTGTACTGCCACTCAGAGAAGGGGAGCTCTAGACTTACAGGAGCAGTGGGATTCCTCTGACTCACCAGAGTGTGGCTGTCTGCAGCACAGGTCAAAGTACTGACCTTGACCATCCAGAGCAAAGAGATGTGCAAAGGAAAGAAAACGTCTACTTTGGGATTTCTCAAATATCGTTCTCTATGTAGGATTTGTTTATAGATCTTTATGTGCTTTATAGTCATACTTAAAATCTAAAAAGTTGTTACATATGGTACTGCACACCTGTAATTGCAACAGTGGGATGCTGAAGTAGGAGGATCTCAAGTTGGCATCCAGCCTGGGCTACATAGTGAAACCTTGTCTCAAGCAACAAGGAAATAATCTAAGCGGTTGTGTCACCAAAGAAAGCTGATCCGGGCAGGCAGCAGGTGGGGTCACTGTGGTGACTACCACCCATGCTTGAGATTCGGCCTCTATGGCTCTACATGCACTTCAGCGGGACAAGGCTGGTCAAGTCACCCTGCCAGCTGCTTCTAAAAGCCCTTATGGACTTTTAAGATCTCTTCTCAATGCCTGCCTAAAGGCCCGTGGATCACGGCAGAAGATGCCAAGTTGCTTCCCACGGAAACCTGTAAAAATGATACCCAGCCTCCGTGGCCTTTTGCCCACTTAGGACATGCCTATGTTTTTGTTTACTCCTTCCTTTGTCCATTTTTCAGCCTTCTTCTTCTTGGGTTTGTGCTAGGGACATGAGGTTTGAGACTATTTGCAATTGTTTTATGGATCAATTATGTGAAAACTTGACTGTTCACACTCTGTTCTACTTCCCAGGGACACCCAGGGCAAGGCGGGCCCCGAGGAAGGCCTGGTTATGATGGCTGCAACGGGACCAGGGGAGATGCAGGCCCACAGGGACCCTCTGGCTCTGGGGGCTTCCCTGGCCTCCCCGTGAGTATAAACACCATGTGGTAATCTGGTTAGCCTGGAAGTCTGGGTGGTAGGCAACTGTCATTATATGTGGGCAGAAGACAGGATAGTTTTGACTCTACTTCCAGGGCTCAGCCCAGGAGAGCAGTGCAGGCTGGACGTTCTTCTGTCAAGTCTTGCCCTGGGTACTTCCGACCCTTTCTGTCGTTATGGTTGATGGAAGCTGTACTCGCTGCCCATATTTTCTTGCAGCAGACTGCCCTGGGTTTAGGTAAATTCATAGTGTAATTTACTCCTAACTATTAGATGGAAGAGAAGTGAGTCAGTTTATATTCTTCATGCCTGTAGTCTTGCAAGGATTGCTTATCTCCCCCCATATTCCAATTCAAATAACAGTGAATGATAGTGTGGTAATACAGCTAAAATCAGAAACCTTGAATCTTGGCACCAGCCTGGTAGTCACCGTCTTATGAGATGATCGGATCCTTGGTGATCTGGAAGGTCCTCACATTCTCTGACATCTACAAGGCAGATATGTAGTGGAGGGCCAAGTGTGGTGGTCCACACCTTTAGTGCGAACACCCCAGAGGCAGAGGCAGGTAGATCTTCATGAATTTGAAGCCGGCCTGGTATATATCTAGTGAGTTTCAGGCCTGCCAGGGTTACATAATGAGACCCTGTGTCAAAACAAAACAACAAAATAGATACCAAATAGAAATTCTTTTTTTTTCAGTAGAGGAACTTTCCTATAAGTACCTGTTTTGTGGCTTCATTCATTTCTTAGGATCTTTCCAAAGAATCCTGAAATATTCTTTCAGTATCATATTTGCAAATTCAAATTCTAACATTTCTGGTTGAGCCTTTGAATTTTGAAAACACTTTAAGGGGAAGAAGCCTTGATCAAATGTCCATGTGACTTTCCTGCAGTGAGTTGTGACCAATGAGCTCTACCTCTGCCTTGTAGCCTCTGCCCACCGCTGTCTGTTTTCTATGTGGTTAGCTGTTTCAATGAACTACATGACTTTCCCTTCCATTCTTGTATAAGTTTCATGACCAAGAAACATAGCTGTCACTGTAAATGTTACGTACAAATATTCAGAGATGCTTATGCCTACTGCCTTTATCACCTGTAAATGGCTTTAATATTGTTAGAACACCAGTGTCAGAGAAACCACCTACTGTTATTACAAAGAGAAGATAGTGTCATTCAATACTAGAGGATGACTGCAGAGAATTCACTTGGGATTCTGAAAATAAGTTAGATCCTATTTTTAGTAGTATTTCCATTTTAACTCTGAGGGTATAAAATGAGGAGCCTCAGGCTTGTAAGTGAACCTTAAGGGGGTTGATATTGGGGACAGTAGATGTTGCTGATGGAAGCCAACACTGCACCATCTGTATCACCACAGCCATACTGGAAGCTAATGGATTCTTCTTTGTTCTTCTTTCTATGGCATATCTGCTAACTTAGGGGCCCCAAGGACCCAAGGGGCAGAAAGGCGAACCTTATGCACTGTCTAGAGAAGAACGAGACAAATACAGGGTATGTTTACTGTAGGTGGAAGATGGACATGATCCCATGTAAACTGTCAAAAAGCTAATTATGAATTAGCTCTGAATGTAAGTAGAAATGCAGTGAAGGAATTCATAGACTCACAGAGTAACTGAAGGCTGTGTTTAACCTACAAGTCATCGTATTTGCACTGAGATGTATTCAGCCTTCTTTGACCTGGGTGTACCCCTTCTCACATTCTCAATACTCCGGGCCAAACGGTAATGAGTCTGGTGACATATTTCATGTGTGTGTATAGTTCCAGCTCTGCCATAGATGTAAATAAAGCTAAAGATGCTTAAAAGCAGTAACTGTTGGGAGCTGGGGAGACAGCTTAGTCTGTCAAGTGCTTGCCTTGCCAGCATGAGGTTCTAGGTTTGAATCCCAGAACCCATGTTAAAAAGCTGGACATAGAGCCAAGTGTAGTTGAACATGCTTTTAATCCCAGCACTGGAGATGCAGAAGCAGGTGGATCTCTGTGAGATTAAGGCCAGCCTAGTCTACATAGCAAGTTCCAGGCCAGGTGGGACTACAGAGACCCTGTCTCGAAAAAACCAATGTGGATGGCTCTGAAGAATAACTGAAATTGACCCCCCCAACATTCATGTCTACACACACACACACACACACACACACACACACACACACACACGCACACACACGCATATCCACACACACACACACACTCACTGAGTGTTCATAACCCTATCATCCTGTCCCCCAGTGTGCACCTTGAAGAATAACTGAAATTGACCCCCCCAACATTCATGTCTACACACACACACACACACACACACACACACACACACACACACACGCACGCACGCACATGTGTACCCACATGCACACAAGCACAAAGTGGTAATTCGTAACCCTTTTTTCCTTTCAACCAGGGTGAACCTGGAGAGCCTGGACTGGTCGGCTTCCAGGTAAGTGCCATTTTTATTGGGGAATATTCCAAGCACAACTTTAAGAGCATTAGGAATGAACACAACCGTCTATCTGTCTTCAAGCCACACTCTCTTTGTCTGTCCACAGGGGCCTCCTGGCCGTCCAGGGCCAATAGGACAGATGGGTCCTGTTGGAGCCCCAGGAAGACCGGTAAGTCCCTGTGTGCATGCTCACTCCCAGGTCCTTGTCAGGCCACCTGTGGATGTGGCTTCTTCACCTGCTGAGTGCCACTGAGCCACTGATGGGCACATAGTTACTATAGAAGCCACAGAGACAGCACAGGCCATTCTTTATACACTCAGCTGCTGTTAAGGTTGGAGAATGAGGACTCAGAATCCATGGTCACCAGCTCACTGCCAACCATGTCAGATTTAGACTTGGTTCTGACTAGAACACCTCCCATTAGGTGTATGTTCCATACCTACCCACATGACAAAGGGCATCATCCCTGAGTAAAGCAGACCAAAGTCCCACAGGTCGGTATGGAGGCAGTGGGGTTTTCCTGGACCAGGCCATGTGCAGCAGGTGCATTTTAACCTGGCTACACCATTATAGCAGGAGCGATGTTGGACATTTATATATTGATCCTCTAAGTGGAGGCCATAAACAGTCCCTTCCCTGCTGACCCAATGACAGAGCACAGATGATAGGATATAAAGGAGGCCGAGGGAAGGCTTCCTGTAGGGAGGCAAGAGAGGAGGAGGAGGTGGCTAGTGCTTGTGCAGCCCTACCCCCTCCCACCACCACACAGTGGCCTGCAGCATGCATTGGCCACCATGAGAAGGATTCTGACTGTCCTTCTGAACACTTCTTAGCAGCAAGACAAATAGGCCTTAAATGACACACAGAGAAAGTTTGGGTCCTGGTGAGTGACCTTCTCCCAGAAACCCTTTCTCAGGACTTAGACCTGCCTCAAGAGATGCTATGGTGTGCATTTACTAATATAAACAGAGAAAACAAGGCAGGATGTTCATGAAGGGATACTCCAGCCTGGGAGCAGCACATATAATTTCCTTCAGAAATTATAATATAACAATAAATCATAGTAATAGTTCTTTTCTCTGCAAAGATAGTTTCCCTCATGCAATAAAACTGTTTCTACAGCAACACTGTCTAGGGCAGATTCAGCCAAAATAGGATGATGGAGGACCAGAGGATGTAACACTCATCTGTGAGTGGCCACTGGCTCACTCATGTAGCAAGTTGAGGTTTTCCTTTTTAAATACAGTTCAGAGGGGCTGGAGAAAAGGCTCAGGCAGGGAAGTGCTTGTTGTATGAGCACAACAACCCAAGTTTAATCCCCAGCACCATGTAGAAAAGCTAAGCATGGTGGTAGCACATGCCTGTAATCACAGAGCTGGGGAGATAGAGGCAGGAGGATCCCTAGAGACTGCTGGCCAGTCTAGCTGAATTAGGAAGCAGCAAGTTCAGTGAGAGATCCTGCCTCAATGATTGAGGAAGACCACTAACCTCCATATGTGCATGTACACGCACACACACTCACACACACACACACAAACCTGTACACTAAATAAATACAGTTCAGAGAACCTGAGGCTGTGCACACCAGGCCTATAGTTGGTCTGGCTCTGAAGACCTTCACATGCTCTGTGAAAATCACCCATCTCTGCCCCCATGCCCACATCCATTTCTTTGCTACACCATAGTTGTTTTCGTCGAGTGAGGTTGACTTCGAATGCTTGTAGAAAGACACAAATGGTGTATGCAGGCAGACTGCTCTGTGGAATCAGCCTATAGATTTATTCTGTCTGTAAGCACTTGTGAATCCACTACTAAAATGTGACTCTGTCTTATGGGGGATTCCCCTAGGAGCTCAGAGGGTCCTGGCTAAAGGCACAGGGCCTGCGCCCTTACAAAGGACATGGGTGAAGTTACAAACCCAAACACACAAGCAAACCAGGAACAGCTGTCCATAGACAGCAGTACATTTGGTGCATTCTGAGGACAGTGACCCGGCCTTCCTTCTGGCTTTTCATCCCCTCAAGACAGATGTGGGGAAGCTCCAACCATGCTGTTCTGAGTAGACAATGATTTTCCCAGGACCTCCTAGCAGATGTCATCTGGGTCCTGGGAGAAAGAAAACAGCTTACACGTGTCTTTATATTTCTACAGGGACCACCCGGGCCCCCCGGACCCAAAGGACACCCAGTAAGTTGTTGGGGACCAGGGTGAGGAAGGGGTTCTTAGGTGACTGTGCATGTATTTTTTGACCAGAGAATAACTTGACTGAAACTATTTCTGGTTTAGAGCATACTGAGAACCATCTTGCAGGATTTTAAGACTTGATGCTCAGGAATAGATCCCATGGGATGTCCAGAACACCCAACCCAGGCCCAACTGAGGATGCTGGGGCTGCAGCTGCTTGCAGCTCTATGACACCTCTGTGGCTGTGTGAAAGTCATGATGATGAGTGCTTGATGGAGGATGAGCAGGGGAACACTGTTTAAGGGAAGTGGAGACTCTCATCCTTTCTGGATATAGCATGGGTCTACTGGAGCCTGAGGTCAGTGCTATGGACATGTCTAATGCTACTGAGCCAGGTTGGAGCCCAAGCGACACTGCTTCTATCACAGGGTGACTGTTAAATTGGTAGAAGGACAACCAAGTAGGTGGTTGGTTAGAGACTTAGAGAGCGCTTGAACAACAGAACCCAGAATCATTATGATCTGGGAAAATTAGATGAATGTACAAACTCAGTGCTGACAAGGAGAATATCTAATCAAAGCTCAGCATAGATCAGAGATGCTAGAGTTCAACAGGAAGCTCGGAAGAGCCATCTACTGCTCCAGATCCAGGTGCAGGCCCTCATGTTCCCACACCTGCTCCATATGCAGTCACATTTCTGTGACCCCTGGTGACCTTGGCTACCACCCTCCCCCATACCCCTCATCTCCTATCCCCTCCACCAGAACTTCCAGCTGGAGCTGGAACTTGTTGAGGCTTCTGGACTCCCCTCAACCCCTATCAGACAGCCCTGTGCAGGGTGGGAAGGAACCTGAGCCAAAGGCAGCGGAAGCCGGCAGGGCTTCAGGGCCAAGGAAGCAGAGGCCCAGCTCAGGCTCTGGCCTCAGATCTCCACTGACTGCTGCAAATACAAACAGCTCCCTCACCCTGGGCCAAGTCACTTCCTGGTGTCTTTGACAAGCAGCTCATAAGCAGAGAGGACTGTGGGAATGCATGGCCTTCTAATCTAGCCTGGCCGCCATGCTGTGCTTTGATTTCAGCTCCAGCCAGGTGGTAAAGAGGAAAAACAGAACTTAATTAAAAGCTTTGTTTGTATTTCCAGAAACATCTAGGCATTGAAGGGGCAGACAGTAGACTGCAGGGAGAAACATCGGAGGGGTCCTGTGCGACTCTTGCTCACTGTAGCAATAGAGAGACCCTGGGAAAGAGCACTGTGCTGAAAATGTGTGTGAATTTGTGCAGTGACTTCTCACATCACTGGTCTCAGTCAGGGTGGGCTGACTCCAGCCCAGCTGCTCCTTGGAGGAACTATTAAATAAATATTGGCTGAGACACAGGACTGACCCAGAAAACAGTCCAAATGGGCACATAAGCGTGATTAGTGTTAAGTCCCCAAAATCATTAAAAAGAAAGAAATGTTAATATGAAATTACAGTGATTTTATCAAAATGAGATGAGTTGTGATCTTTTGCTACGGAATCTGTTAATCACCTGGACTGTTTGCTAGAGGATCCAGAACCTGCAAACTCTGGACTCCACTTTGGGGAGGCCTCCATGCTAATGAATAAACTGGCAGGATCTCTCTTGACTTCCCCTCACCTGGGCCTTGGTCACAGGACCAGGCGGAGTCTCTTGGCTGCTACGACAAGAGCACTACATTAGTGTCAATGGTTCAGCACTGTCACATATAGGGAGGTCTTAGGTTCTTTTTTCTAAAAAATATTTTTTCACTGTGATTCTTGATTCTTGCAAACTCACAGAAGCCATTTCTCTTTCCAGGGCAACCGAGGACTTGGTTTTTATGGAGAAAAGGGTGAAAAGGTAAAGGAAGCCTGATGCTTTTGTGTGGAAACATGCAATAAGCAGCAGTCAGAAATGAGATGAAGTGATGATCACTACCATGGTTAACCTGATCTTCTTGGGGTGCTCTGCAAACAGGCTCTTTGCATAGGGAGCTAATTTTGGTTGAGTGCCACTCCGACCGCACTCCAGGGATAATTATGGATCAGTGAGACATGAATGTGAGCTGTCAGGGTTGACCTAGACTCTGACAGGGACCCTTAAGTCCTGCCTGTGTTCAACACTGAGAAGTAAAAGTGTTTCCTAAGAGTGTCTTCTAATGTGTGGGACCCACAGAGAGTGAGGGGACTCAGCTGAGAGCCCAACTCTGACATGAAGCCCAGGTCACATGACTGCCCTGGCTGGATTCAGTCCTGAAAGAGCCATGTGACATGTCACACCCCCAACCCCAGTGCTATCATTTAGAAGTCTAATAGCCTGGAAAAGGAACATGGCACCCACATACAATCCCAGTTCTCTGTGAGCTGCCTGTTCTGTGTGCAGCAGACCTGTCCCTGTGACTCTGTTCATGAGTGAGTACTGTCACCCTGTCCCCATCCTCTTTTTTTTATTGAATTCCACTAAATGGAATCGAAAACTCCTCATACATGAAAAAACTTGATGATCCAAACACATAAAAATGTTAAGTTCTATACAATGAAATATACTATAGTAATAAAGAAAAATAAAAGGATGGAAGATCTGGGGAGAAGCCATTGGTGGGAGAGCATGGGCATGCTGGGGATTGTGGGGATGAAGTTAATGCCTGTAGTTCATGAAAACCTTACTCAGAACATTACTGAACACACCAAGGCCTTCATGGGCACTGTGGACATGAACAGTTTTACAGTGTGTTAACAGATGTTCAGAACACAGAGACGTCTCTCTTAAAGAAGCTGATGTGCCACCTCAGTCTGCTGCTATCCCTGTTATGTGATTGCTGAGCTCCAAGTTACTATGTCACTTATACATTGAAATAGCAAAAGAAGACAGGGTATTCTGTGTCAGTTTCTGGAGAAGTGGCAGGAATGTGGTGTGAGGCTTACTGGCTGTGTCTTCTGCTACCACACAAAGGCAGTGAAGGCATTCTGAGATGCTTATTCTAGCTATTGTATGAAAACACCGTTAGCTGGAGAAGCAGTGGTGACCCTGGAGGCTTCCTAGGCATTTCTAAGATCCTGGTACCAATCTTGGCAAGCAGTAGGGTAGTTCTCACCAAGAACTTTCAAAGACATTTAGCCTTCAGACCTAATAACTTCCTTGTATAGAAAGCCATCAAGGGCTACATCCCCAAAGAAAAAAGTGTGGCACAGAATCATTAGGACCTGTGTGATCCTGACACATAAACTCTAAACAGTTGCTAATGAAAATCTGATTTAAGTCATTTTATATGATGATCATTGTCGTATGATTATTTTACTGTTGCAATACAAACTAGATATGCCTGTGGTATTATGCAAAACAAAATAGCAGTATGTGGTGAGTTTGTGCTGTCACTCAAGTTTATATCTGATTCAAAATCATCATCCACAGGGTGACGTAGGACAGCCAGGACCCAACGGGGTTCCATCTGACACCACACTCATCGGACCCACAACGACTACATACCATCCTGATCTGTACAAGGTAAAGAGGTGACTCCAGTGAAACCAGGAAAAGAAGATAGGAAAGAGTAGCTTTCTTCAATTTTATGCAAGCAATTGCATCCCAAGATAGTAGTGAAGAAAGACCTCACTACCAAATTGGCAAATTATATGTAGAAAAACCCAACCAAGCCCTGCTGAAATCTTCTCAACACTTCAAAACAGTTGGTGATTCACAGATACATGGCTTTGCCAGTCCATCCTTTCAACTGAGAGGAATCTGAGAACCCTGGAATTCACTGTCTATGTGTACAAGAGTTTCCAGTACAGACACAAGCTAGTAGCCACAGCATAAGTCAAAACCAGGGACATGGAACCTTAGACTCACAAAAGTACATTTTTTTTTTCTTCTTTGTTTACATGGAGCCTTTTCTTTCAGATCAACCTGTGCAACATAATGAGACTTCCTATCCAAATTATGAGCTCTCTGGGCTGGTCGAAGCTAAGGCCTTGGTGTCTCCCTAGTTTCAGATGCTGCCAGAGTCTTCTGACTCTGGCACGCCAGGCACCCTAGGCTTTCCTGTGATGTCAGAACAGTGAAGACCATCACACTCACATCACAGAGCTATGAACAGATTCTGAGCACCCTGGGGCTTAGCATCATGCTCGTGCATACAATATAAGGCATGACATTAAAACCAAACATAGAAGCAGCATTCTTAGAAATACACTATTGTGGGGCTGGAGAGATGGCTCAGCAGTTAAGAGCACTGACTGCTCTTACAGAGGACACAAGTTCAATTCCCAGCACTCATGTGGCAGCTACGAACCATCCTTAACTCCAGTTCCAGGGGAATCCAAAGCCCTCTTCTGACCTCCGCAGCATCGCACGACACAGGTGCACTCACATACATGCAGGCAATACACTCACACACATAAAATAAAAATAATAAAATATTTTTTAAAAAAAGAAATACACTGTAGTCCCAAAGTATCTGTCATGATGGACTTTGGGTCCTTACTCCCAGGTAGGATGGGCAGGCAGGGCCCTGTCTTAGGGCAGCTATGGCCCAAGTCAGGAGGGACCATTGACAAATGGGAGGTGGCAGGCAGGGTCTGCTGCACCTATCAAAGAACATCAATCCTGCTTTCCAAAGCCTCTTTTCCTCAGCAAACTTTTCTAGTAATACTTTATTTGACTGATTATTTGTGGTCTTCCTGGAGGTTTGTCTTCCCACTGTGGGTGGGTATGCAGGAGCCAGCATCCAGCTACGGGATACCCAGAGGAGTGTGCGCCCTGTGACTGATGCAAATAACCGCTCAGGTGGAAAAAGAGAATGATTTCCAGGCATGTCACAGACCACAGAGAATTTCATTTATTTTGTGAAAAATATGGAGAAATAACACTTTTTTCCACTTGAATTTGAAGCTGTAGCCTCTAAGAACTCTTGTTGCCATGATTTCATCAATGTTGCTTGAAGTTTTGTTAAATACTTTTCATCTCATATCCTAAGCCAGGGTTGATGTCTAAGTTCTGTTCTCAAATGAATGAGCATTTCTTATTTCTTGTATTCTTCACAGGGTGAAAAAGGGAGTGAGGGAGATCCAGGGATACTAGTAAGTCCATCATAAGAATCTTTCCCCTGTGATGCTCCATCCTTGGGACTCCTGTTGGAAATGTGGGAAGTGTGTTGGTCCTAGCCCACAGGGTCTCGGGTCCATCCACTTATCTAGGCAGCAAAATATTGTTTGTACTTAATGCATTTTGTATAATAATACTGGTTAATTAGCATTTTCTGGATAGGCCAGCCTCTGCTCTGGGCCAAGGGAGTCTCTCTGTCATCTTGTTCATCTGATGTAACCTGGCTCCTCTTCCCAGTTCTCCCTCACTGTCACTTGCCTTGTGACTGTGACATGCAGCATCCTAGATAAAGGTGATCCAGACAGGCCCCTGGATTCTCTCTGCCCCGCATTACCCCATGCCAGCATCCTGTCTCTGAGGGGCCCGGAAAGGCTGCAGAGTGGCCCATTGCTCAGGTGCCTTATTCTGGTTGCTCTCTCCTAGGGCATCTCCTTGAAGGGTGAGGAAGGCATCATGGGCTTTCCAGGACCACGGGTAAGTCATGCACTTTATGCCCACGGTTGTTTAGTTGGTAGCTTTCTTAATCATCTTATGCCCCCATCCCCAACAGCACCCTCCCATAGCCCCCCACCCCCTACTGGAGCCCATATACTCTGTCAAGTACAGAGTATGTCTAGAACACAGGTTAATTTCTGGTTGCCCAAATAGTCTGAGAAGAATGTGGTAAGAAGGCTCAGCCCCAAGAGGCATGTGCCAACTTCAGAGCCATGATCTGAGCACCGTCAGCCACCTTGGCACTTGGGGTTGAATTTGGCCACATGTAACTATTCTTGCAAACCTTGAAAACAGAGGCTGCTTTAGTGGTGGTTGGTACCCACACAGTCCTCTCAGGTGAACTGCTGTTCATTGCTTCTGTTTTCTGTTCAACCTAGGGTCTTCCTGGCATGGATGGAGAGAAAGGAGCCTTAGGACAGAAAGTAAGTCTGCTACGCAAAATTCGAGCTGATGGTATTGAAGGAAGTATTTGTCCCCAAAACCCACTTGGGATGCTCCTTGCATTTAGTCACATGAGTCATCACCCAGGTCCTCAAGGTCCTCAGCGGAGGAGTCACTGTGTCTCAGTTCTGCTAATTTATCTGTTGGTTCTTCCCAGAGACCCAGGTCTCAGCCCTGGACCTCATACCCTCTGTGTCTGGACCAGATTTAGAATCAGCTAAACACTACTCAGAGCAGAAAGTACACATAAAAATGTTTTTATCTAATTAATGATTTATTTACTCACGATGTCCATTTTACGCACAAGTTTAGTCCTAGAACATTTAGGCACACAGTCCACCCACCACAGAGGCCAGCACCTTCCTGTCACCCAAAGGGGACAGTCCTGGAGTCTGGCTTCAGATCATGGCCAATGTACAGGGTCATGTGAACTAACATGCACGTAACTTGGCAACAAAGGAATAAACACATATGTACTGTGCTGCTCTACATTTCACCCAGCATACTGTGGAAGTTATTCCCCTTACACATTTGCATCTACCACCCACTAGGAAGCTGCAGAGCTGAGGAACACAGATGCACCATATTCACTCGCCCCTGATACATCCAAGCCTCCTGTCAGCTTACAGCCAGCGCCAGGATGTATGCACAGAGTACCCATGAGTGGTGTTTCCATCACACAGTCCTGTCAGGTGCATGGAAAACAATTAGCCTCAGAATGGCAGCTCCCTTGAAACTTACTCAGGATGCCACAGTGGGTGGCCATGTGACACTGAAGGACCCAGAGGCCATGGTGAGCAGGCACCAAGGCAGAGGAGCCATGTGACTGTTCTGGGATGGCAAGTAGTCTTGCCTCACAGTGCGGTGGCTGATTTCCATGTCTCTGGCTGAAGGCTGCATTGGTCCCATGTTCTGGCATGGACCCATTACCTGGAAGACCCCGATCACTGCTCTTGTCATCTTTGTCCCTTCTCAACACTGGCCCTAAACTCAGGCTGGAGGCCATACCCTAACTACACCCAGCATTCCATCGCATTAGTTACTGCTAGGAGTGTCACCAAAGGTGGTTCAACCAGAGACAACAGCCGTCCCCACTGCTCCCCAGCCATAGGCCAGAGAATGTGCAGGTCTTTTAAAGACTGGATTGAAGTAGACAATGAATCCAAAGCTCAGCCATTTCCACCCACTTGTGTAGTCAGGGTCCACCCATTGCTAAGGTGGACTGGTGACATCCTTTTGTCACTTAGTCTTCACCCAACACAAAGGAGCTGCAGTGTTTAAAAATATGTTTCAAAGCAGCTACTCTGGAACCTAGCGGTCCATGAAAACAAGAGCCCAGTAAGTCCTGGCCGCCCGGTACCCTGGCCACCCAGTTCCCGTGACTCAGGTGCAAGGATGGTAGGGACACTCGTCCAGCTTTCTCTCTGCAGTCACACAACTTGTGAAGAAATGGACATCTGTGCTTAAGTGGGTCAGGGAAAATAGTTTACTCAACTGAAAAAATAGGGAAATAGGCAGACATACACAAATGACTCACCGTCCTGTGTTGTTAGTACAAACCTCACCAAGTGTTTCCCTACATTATCCCACTGGCCCAGCTGCTGCTCCTGCCCCCACCCTCTGGCGTTCCAGATGTGCTGAAGACTGTAGCCTTAGGAGACAGAAACCAAAGGCATCTCTGAGGAGCCGCTGTGGGCAGTGACCCGTGAAAACAGCAGGTCAAAGTGGGAAGAAACAGAAGGCCATGTGTCTGGAAAGCATCTGTCCCCCTGCAGAGACAGAGAATCTTCTCCACATGCCCATACACACACACACACAAACACACACACACACACACACACACACACACACACACACACACAGTAAACAGAACTCCAGTCAGGGAATGGAGAGATGTTTTATGTATATGGCTACATTAAATTTTCTAAAACATTAGCTATCATCTCCCCTCCTTGTCTGGGAAAGCCTATGTTTAGTAATAGCAGAATCTTTTTCCAGCCTGGAGTTACTGTAGGGCATGCTCACAGAGACCTGGTCTCTTGGTAACTGTACACTGAGTACAGCCCGCCTGTGGTGTAAATGTGCCACATGGGTCAAAGCTGTCCCCATGTGGAATTCCTCTCAAGAGAAGTCTTTCCCCTGAGGCCCCCAAGTTGTATCACACTAACCGGTGTGCCTTGTGCCATTGGGCTGAGGAAGGATCTAGAAATCCATTCAGGCATGGAGGCATGTTCAGACACATAGGACAGCAGCCTGTTGTTCAGCACTTGAGACATTTCCTAGTGGAGCCTGACCATGAATGCTTTCCAACCGTGGGCTCCTGCCGGCTGCTAAGACCTCTGCCAGTGAGTTCTTCTTACCTGCTTGGGCTTGAACGACCTAAAGGCAAGGGCTCTTGAATATTTAGCTCCACCTAGTGTGAGGGAAAGGGCCAGAGTCAGTCACAGTCCAGCAAAAGAAAACCACAAATTCAGACAGTCCTAGTCCATCACCACAGCACTTGGGTTTGAAAATCCCTATAATGCCCAGCGTGGTGGCACTCGCCTTTAATCCCAGCAGTGGGAGTGGTGTAGGGTCACTTTCTGGAGTTTCCTGCTGGACTGAAGGTAACAAGCCTGTATCTCTCTTGCAGGGAAGCAGAGGTCTGGATGGTTTCCAAGGCCCCAGCGGGCCCCGAGGACCCAAGGTAATGTATATCTTTCCTTTTGATGGTGTCCTGCTCCCTTAGGAGAAGGTGGCACCCTACCCTAAACAATTCTAGATCCCCCAGGACATGGGAGGGGAGATAAGCAGCAGTGTATTAATGTACTCCCCGGGGGAGGGGATGCCATGTGCTACAGGGGCTGCCTGGACTATACTAGGCCTGTCTTTGGGAGCAGATGGACCAGCAGGGTGGGAGGAGGTAGGCTTTGTAGTCACAAGATGAAGTGGTACCTCTAATACCCAAAAGAGCATGGGATTTGCATCACTGACTCTCAGGACGAGCAGGGAAAACCACTTGAGGTGATCCAAACTAGCTAATAGGGGATCTAGCCCTGTGGGTAGTGGTTCCTGCTAGAGTGGTATCTGGGGAGAGCAGGAAAACCTGTAGGTCTATCTGAAGTCCCTGTGAGACAGCTCTGTAAAGCATGTATGTCACAAAGCAGATGGTGTAGGGGTCCTTGCAATCACTAGAACTCTGAAAAGCTAACCTCATAGTCCTCTCTCTTCAGGGAGAACGAGGGGAACGAGGCCCCCCAGGACCCCCTGCCTACTTGCCTCATCCTTCCCTGGCAAAAGGTTGGTATGAGAGCTTGGGTGCATTACAGAGCCTCACACACATTCTCTTCTGTTGAAAACAAAAAGTTGTAAAGTTTCCAGACAGATCTTCTAAGTGAAACAAAACAAAGATATTTAATACACAGCCTTTAGAGACAGCTGGGACCCAGCTTTGCTGGTGGTTCCAAAGGTGCCATTAGAGACCATTACTTGAAGCCTGTCTTTCCTGTCCCAGCCTCTGCCATACACTGCACACATGGGATTTCTGATCCTGTCACTTCCCTGTAGCTACAAATTCAACAATGTCTTCTACTTATTTTCCTGCACCCCACACTCCAGCCCCATCCTGCCTATGGTGGCTGCTGGGCTGATCACCTCAGTGTGGCTCCATCCCCTCTGGATTCCCTTCCCTGGCCTGTGGGAGGAGCCTAAGTGCCTTGTGTACACAGGGTCTTGTGTGCAGAGCTCAACATCAATAACGTTTTAATGTCTATTATTTCTATTCTTTGTGGTCCCTCAATGTCATATTTTTCCCTCAAAATGAGTTTACTCTCAGTTGAAATATATATATATAATACATTCACATCCTCTATACTTCTGTTTTTGGGGGTTTGTTTTATATATTTATTTATTTATTTATTTATTATTTATGCATGTAATGCCTGCATGTATGTGAATGCACCCGTGTCCTGAAATACCACGGAGGTCAGAAGAGGTCTTCAGACTCCCCTGGGACTGGAGTTAAGGATGACTGCCATGTGGGTGCTGGAAATAGAACCCAGGTCCTCTGCAAGAGCAGTCAGTGCTCTTAACCGCTGAGATGACTCCATTTTTTTACACTAACTAGGCATTATTTTAGCTCTCCTCTCTCTCTCTCTCTCTCTCTCTCTCTCTCTGTCTCTCTCTCTC